AAAAAAAAAACTCGAAAGAGAGGTTCCGGATCCGCCCCCGAAAGTGAAATTTTCATCGTGCCTGCTCCATCGTGCCTGCCCCATCGTGCCTGCTCCATCGTGCCTGCTCCATCGTGCCTCCTTCAAATCGACGGATGGATTATGGTAATATCTCATCTACTGGACCGATTTGAGGCCGCTGCTCTCGCCTCGTCTGAATTTTTTAGTACTTGGATATACAAAGTCACCACGTTAAATCACCAGAATTCACCCCGACTTCTGGTGATTTAACGTGGCGACCTTGTATATCCAAGTACTAAAAGATTACTTGGAACTCAAGACACGAAGCTTTAGCTACTAGAAAATCCACTCGACACACAGGCGCATAAATATTCTTTTGTCCTTGGACTAATCTCATTCGGGGACGACAGAGGGGAGTGAAAGGCGCGAAGGGGGCGAGGGGGCAGGGGGGCAGGGGGCAATACTTAATATCGAATTCACCAACGTGTCCTTTTTTACCGGAGACTACCGAACCGCTTGCGACAAGCAAGGAGTCGAAGGACTACGATTGCCTTGTGTCGCCAGTTCTCGCGCAAAGTACTAACAATACTCCAAAAAGTACTGCCTATGGAGTAAGAAACCTCAACGGAACGAGCGAATGAGGCGATGACTCATCCATGAGGCATTTTAAAATTATCCATGTGCCATTGTGCCCATCCGCAAGCTAGCATGACCCGCAAAAAAGAAAAACACTGGAAAAGAAATCAACAGACGATCGATCGAAGAAATAATTTCCTTCTGCGCAGAGCCGAGTAAGCACCGCGTGGGATCGAATTTGGGATCAGACTGTTGCGTCTCCGAGAAGCGATTTTTCTTCGGATCTCACTCTTCTTTTTCTTCATTACGGTAACGATGAAATTGCGACGATTTGGGAATTAATTTCAGCGTTCGCGAAAGTGGGACGAGAACGTCATCAAATTCCGACCTCGACGAGTCGGGTTCGAGGGCGTGATGCACCGAGGTCACGGTAGATAGAATATATCCTATCTATTGTCTATTCGGCAGCAAAAGACACACTCGATTGGGAGCAAAAAAATTTGATGGTGAGAGACGAGGAGTCAAAGAGATATGTGTATATCTGGCCTCTGACAGATCATCGGGGGGGGGGCAGAGGTTCATGACAGGCTTCAGTGTTGTCAGATAGAGGATAGCACCTCTCGGTCAGCCGAGAGAGATCCATTGGGATCCCGCTGCACCCAATTCGACGAAAGTCGCCCCGTCTAAAAAAAATTCACGCCCTTTCCACACGTGTAGAACGCATGTGGTCCGCCCGTGTGGATTTGGTTGGGCGTGGAATTCCCTCACGAGGAACATCCACCCGTGTGGATTTGGCTGGGTGGGGAATTTCCTCATGAGGAATAGGGTAAACACCCCAGTTTTTAGCCGCTTAAGCCTTGGTTTTTGGCCACGCCGATACGACTCTCACAGGTAGTGGACACCCTGTGCGCACACCAATGCAAAGTATCCTATAAAGAGCGGAATTGACGATGCTCAGGAGAGCAAACAGCGTCTAACCGACAGCTATGAATAAATTAAGCTCTAGTGGAATCCGTGCTCGAAAGATCTATCAACAATTCATGGCTCGATGAGAAAAGAGTAGAGAAAGAGAAAATTCCACAAAACCTGGGAGAATTCACTGGGTAAATTGGATCACGTGTTGTAATCCGAGCCTGTGGACGTAAACCGAAACCAACTGTCTTAACTGTCCCCTGATCGACAGAAAAAATAAGAAAGGGGAGGATTTGGCAGTGGAAGAGGAGAGGCACAGTCGACCACAGAAGGCGAATGTCCGATGCCCATTCCCTGAATTCTGTCCCCGGCAGACCGACTGGCGAAATATCTTTTTTCCCGTGAGAATAAAATTACTCTGTAGGCTCATTTTAAGGTTATTTGAAAATAATTCCACACCAATGTTTTTGCCCATAGGCAAAAATTCTCGAAACAGATCTACCAGCGTTTTTATGCAAAGTTTATTTTTTTCATTTAGGACTTTCGAAATGAATCACCAGGTTTGTATGAAAAACTAAAGAAAAGTATAACAAAATAACATAATGAGAAAATAAAAATGATCCAGTCTCGACATGAATTGCCTGGTATTACCCCTCCTTCCCTCATCCTCATCATTCCTCACCTTGTCCACACCTATTCCCCCAAACGACCACACTCTCCACACCCGTTCCACCCCCTTCCACAGATATCACACGCGACAAAGAGCCATCCTCATGATTTCCACGCCATTCCGCACCCTTTCCACCCCCTTCCACACTGATTCCGCACGCGACTCAGAGCCGTCCACACCATTCCACACCCGTTCCACCTTGTGGATGGATGATGTTTTTTTTTCTTTTTTTTTTTTAGAGGGGCGGCAACCCTGACTTTCAAGGAAAATCCTCCCATTTACCATGCCTCAAGTGAGGAGCATAAATGATATTTAGCTGCCACGGCTCTCCCTTGACCTATCACGTCGAAGCCGCAAGCGTGCCTTTAAGGTCTAGTAAACCTTGGATCGGGACCTTGAAAACGTCCGACCGAGAATCTTCTCACCCCTGCCCGCTTTTCAACGAAGCGAACGATTCCCAGTTTCAAATACCGAGTTGCATCTGTCCCAAGATGATTCGTGTTTGAGGATCCTGAGGTTTACTTTCCATGCTTTCGGAGCTTAGGCCTACTCGAGCCGGAGCTTACCCTTACCGTTATTGCTCGTTGAGAACTTAACCCAATACAGCGCCACAGCACCCTATTAAATAAATGCGTTTTTTTTTTTGTTTTAGATATCACTCACTGTCTGTCAGTCAATAAGGAAAGCAAATCCTCACTGACCACGGACCGGCCAAGTAGCCCTAAACTTACACCTTGTTTACAGGTAACAGTTGCCAAAACTAACTTAAATTACTTACCTTAAATTAAAACTCACTTTCGTGAAATGCACGTGACCGAAAAAATGAGAAGAAAGACGTTTGCAGACGTTTGACGAGAGCAAAGAACCAACTGAAGTAAAGCTTCCTGTTTTGCTCACAGGCTTTCAAGCCTAGAGGGCCCCATGCGATGTTTCTTCCGCGATGTTCTTTCCGCACACCGTTATCCCACTCGATTTTTACTCTGTTTCATGCCTAGAAAAGTTTCGGTCTCCTAGTCTTTCCAGCTTTAGGTTCAAAACTTCCTTAAGCTTCTTAAGTTTCATCTTCATGTTTCAGTGAATAGGTTGCATTACCGCGGTATAAACGCTTTCCGGTGAAAGATCCGGGAAGGGCCGCCAGATGTCATCAGAAATTCGAATGAAATGCAGTCGCTCGCCTGTCGACTCGAAAAAGCGCGCCTGTCGACTCGAAGAAGCGCGCCTGTCGATCCGATCGACCGATCGCATCCTCGATCGACCCGCGATGCTATCTCATACCCCGAAAAAGGGGAGATCGGCCCCATCGCGATGAGACAGATAGATGCGTTTCCGAGATGGTATCGATTCGAAAGGGTGAATAATCTCTCGCCTGGCGCTTTTTCTCGTGGCTTCAGTTATCGTGATCTCTCCATTCAACCGGAGAGATAGTCACAGTTGCACGCAGTCGGTGGATGGCAACAGATACATGTTGTCAGTGGCAACGAGAAGCTTGCCGGTACGCGATTTTTGCAGGGGAGCAACTGCTTTCTGCATTTTCTTCCCACCACTTTCTTCCCGCCTTTTCTTTCCCGCCATTTTCTACTCTTCTTTCACTTACTGCTGCTCGCTTTCCGCTCCTCCGATCGAAACTCCAGTCCCGCCACTCATGAGTTCCTTTCGATGGGTCCAGTTCTGTGCATTAACGCTAGGTGGCTCTGCCAGATCGGAGAAAAACCTCGTCGAGTCACGATCGATGATGGCTTTCGTGGGGGTTCATACTGAAAGGGATTCATCTGCTATAGGAATGATGGCGGAATTCAGGGCGTTATGGATAGGGAAGATGGGCAAACAAAGGACAAGAGCAGTTTGAAAATGCGTCGAAATTCCAAATAGGGCATTTGAACGTGTTGAGTAAGATGGCCTTATAAAGCCAGCATATAAAAATTTCAAGCCAGTTAAGAACAAGGTTTGACGATCATTAGGACATGTTGGACGGTTAGGCAAGTCTGGGTGAAGTGGAGTAAGAATATGATGCTGAAACACGAACACGAAGGGGTATGACGAATACGAAGTGGCGGGTCGGTTCTGCCATCATTCCCATGCTCTCTGGCGAAAAGGAAACTTCTGAAAGAGGATGTGCGTCTATGAGACGTCGAGTTGCTGTTAGAGGCTCTTAAGACTTCCGCGATCGAAGTTCGGTTCAGACCGAACGCTGTGTTCCACTCCAAGAACAAAAAGTATGCGGAAACATTTGCGTGGATCGAGCGACATCGTACCGACGAAAACTGCTTGAATTTTAATTTTGACGAAACCTGAACTCGGGCCACACATTACGCAAGGAAGAAGAGCGAGACGAACGAATCAGGTTTCAGGACTTAACTCATGTGAATTAAGTCCTGAAGCAGCATTCGTCATTCGAACGGTGACGTTCGAATGACGGATGCGGTTTCAGATCGTATGAAATACGCAGTGCAGCCCCGTCCGTGACGCGAATGGTAACGAAGTGTCAGACGTTTCAAAAATGAAGTGAAATTCACTTCCCTTTGCGTTCGCCGCCTTACTTTAATGCCAGGAAATACAATAGGAGACAGAATAAACTTTCACTTTCTCGGGCAAAAGAATTTGAATGACGATTTCCCAGAGTGATATCTCAACTTCCACTTTCCGAGCTCGTCCGATCTCGCTTCCAATGATGACATCACCCAGGAAGAGGAAAAAGTTGCCATCGGTGGAGGTTGTAGACGGGCGACCGGTTCCTTCCGCATTTTCTCTCGTTTTTTTTCTTCATTACTTTCGATCGCGTGGGTGATACGAGATCGCTGGCACTTTCGACGAATTGCACATTCGAAGCAAATGCAGCTCTCGTATATCGTGCTAATTCGTTTCTTCGTTTCAGCCATGTGCGCCACAATCCCGTGGCCGGGAACTGGGGAATGCTGTTCGCCTTCTCGAAGGTCTTCGAGTTGGGAGACACGGCGTTCATCGTCCTCCGGAAGCAGCGCCTCCTCTTCCTCCACTGGTACCATCACATCACGGTGCTCCTGTACGCCTGGTATTCCTACGGACAGGCGATCCCCACGGCTCGCTACTTCATCACCTTCAACTTCCTGGCCCACGCACTCATGTATCCGTACTACATGATGAAGGCGCTGAAGATACAAGTCCCTCGTCGGATCGCCATGGGTGTCACGCTCTTTCAACTTTCCCAGATGGTGGTCGGGGTCACGGTGAATACGTATGCCTATCTCTGCATCCGGGCCGGCATGCACTGCGAAGTACCGATGGAGAACATCCAGGTCTCCTTCCTCATGTATCTCTCCTATCTGATCCTGTTTGCAAAATTCTTCATCGATGCCTACGTGAAACGAAGCCTTGCCAAGGCCACCAAAGAGTACAAAGCGGCCGTTGCATCCGGGAAACCCACCGCCAACGGACACCCCACCATCACGGAAGAATTCACGGATTATCTCAAAATCAACTGAGAACGTATTGTGTGTCTGCATAATGAATTTTTATCTGTCTTCCCTTTCGAGCTTTTATCTTTCTTCTCACGTGAGCGAAAGTGCATGCACTCCCCTGACGGACAGTTGTGCGGGACCTCGTTATGTAACCAGAAGAATCCGATGAAAGTGGATCTGGAACTCATAAAAAAAAGCTGCCCTCCTTCCCTCAAACCAGGAATGGAGTAAGTCCCAGACAAGAACAATGGTATGGTGAGTACGAAGCACACGCTTCCCGCGCGACCGGTTCGACCCTCAACTGCATCATAAGTGCCGGGGGATATGATCCTCCGCACCAGTCCCGCGCAAGGCCTGCCCTCGCTCCCAACATGTTCCACGATCCTTCGGCCTATCTCAAGCCCGACTACCCGATCTTCAATGGGTCTCGGTACGAACAGCTGATCAAGAACCACGAATACCTCCGGCGAAGTGGGATCCCCTTCGAAAGGGAAAACTTGCCGTATTTCTTCGTCTTCGAATGGGAGCTGGCCGGGGAATGGGCCGAAGACGCCCAGTGGTGGTTCATGGACTATTGGACCCTCTCCTTCGTCTTCGTCGCCGTCTACCTGATCCTCGTGTTCTGGGGTCGGCGACGGATGGCATCCCGTCCGCCCTACGATCTGCAGAAACCCCTCATCGCCTGGAATTTTTTTCTCTCCGTCTTCAGCATCCTTGCGGTTTATAGGGTTCTTCCTGAGGTGTACCGAAGCATCCGAGATGATTCCCTCTACCACTCGATGTGCTTGGGAACGTGAGTCGGATTTCTCATACTTCCAGTTGGGGGATACTCAATTTATTATTATTATTATCTCATATTGCAAGAAAATTAGTTTCTTGCACTTCTCACCAAGCATGGAAATTTAGGGAACTTCATATGAAGTTTTTGATGGTTTTGTGGTAGATAGATGGAATAGAATAGTAAAAAAAATTAGCTTGACTTATTTGAGACATTTGAGTTATTATTTGAGATAGGCAGACCTAGTTCTACTTAGTCAGATGAATTCTTCGGATATTGGCACGAGAGACAACAAGAAACTCAACGTTATTTTTAAGAGTGCAATGATAGCTGAATTAGAGCGACATAGCATATTTATCTTACATACTGTTTATTCTGCTTCGTTTGTTTTATTTATTTTCAGTTGCCTTCCATAGATTCCCTGAGACCCGCCCTTTTTTCGGAAAATTCGGAATTTTTCCATAAAACGGCGTGGACCGATCTCATTCGGACCTCCACAAATTTATTGAACCGTATCCGTCAATTTCGCAGTGCATCGAACATGGTGCAACCGTCGCTCTTTCCCCGATAATTCAACCCGAAGATTTATACGCCTCGGAGAGGAATGACTTTTTAGTACGAAGCCACCCGTGATTTACGACTTCGTGATGGACATGAGGAAGAGTTGAGGATTTCTCGTCAGGCATTGCCGAATGTCGGCTCACCTGCAGGCAAGGGTCGCGATGTCGAAATCGAGCCTTCCTTTCCAAGGTGAATTATATCAGAAATAATCTAGCGGTTGAAAATAAGCCTTAAAAACAGGCTCGGCGATGGTGAAGCGTCCGAAAGAGAGGAATTAGCAACGACGGCTATATTGAATGTATTCAATACATTTTCATCTATATATTTTAAATATATTGATTCACCTTCACCACATTCCGTGTGAAATTATCTCCGGCATGATATTGCATTCCAGCTTTGTATTTTCCCTCCTCATGTTTCGAATAAGGTCGTGAATGATTCGCAAGAACAATATGGGATTAAATACAACACTATTAGTAGGAGAAGGAGAAAAATGTCCGATATTCGGGACAAAAGAAATTACTAAATGAGTCGCGTTTCCTCGGTATTGGGCTGAAAGGGTCCGGGTGCAAACCTACTTTGGGGAATTGTGGGTCTGTCGGATTAAAAAGTCTTCAATCGCGTCAGCGTGATTCAGCCTGAGTTTAGATGTTATTTTTGTATTAATATTTCTTCGCCCGAGCGTCGTTGCCTCAGAGAGTATTTCAAAGAAGAAGCTTAAATTCCGATATAATCAATTATAAGGACAAAAGAGACTTCAGACAATCCTGGGAAATCAGTTAGTTCGTCCAGTTTGACGTCATCTTCGTAACCCAATAAGGTGAAAAACAGTTTCAATTCATTCGAATTTGGGCTTCCGATCTCTACGGTGAACCTGCACGTGAACGCCGCATGTCGTCGACCTCTTGCCTAGTCACCATTTTTGCACGAGGTAATCGGGATTCCTGTGCGATTCCCGTCTCGTCCTCCAATAACGGTGACTGATCTGCTTGGCATTCACGACGGCATTTGCAGTTTTTGCCGAGGTCATGGATCGGTAATAAAACCAGACGAGAAAGACAGTTTTCGTGGAATTTTTCTCTCCAGCTATTTCCCATTCCGAGCTTGCAGAGTTCAATGATCTTCAAACAGAAACGTTTCGAGGATACTCGCGAATTCATTAGGAACACAAACTATGCATACAATGCATAGCTCGCATTCTCAAAGGTTGCAAAGATCGCAAAAGAGGAAACGCGGCACCAAACACGTTCAGGGTTCCAATTCATGTCTTTTTCTCACTTACTGTTGACCTACTCTCAGACAACTTGAATTTCCTTTAAAAATAAAAAAAAGGGCAAACCAGTTCTGATAGCTTGCGAAGAAGTGGTGAGATTTTTATTATTTGAGTTTATTATTCGCCCTATATACTTGTCTAATTTATTCTCCCGGAGCAGGAATCTACGACACAATCCAGTGGCTTCGGTCTGGGCCATCTTGTTCGTGGTCTCCAAGGTCATCGAGCTGGGAGACACGGCGTTCATCGTCCTCCGGAAGCAGCGTTTCCTCTTCCTCCACTGGTACCATCACATCACGGTGCTCCTGTACACATGGTACTCCTGTGCGCAGGGAGTCCCCACGGCCCGCTTCTTTGTCACCCTCAATGCTCTGGCTCACGCCTTCATGTATCCATACTACACCGCACGAGCAGCGAAGGTCCACGTCCCCCGCCGCCTCGCCATGTCCATCACCCTCTTCCAGATCACCCAGATGATTTTCGGCATCTATGCCAACGCCTACGCCTACTTCGCGAAGAAGGCCGGCCTCCACTGCGAGACTCCGTGGGAGAACATCTACATCTCCGCTCTCATGTACCTCTCCTACTTCCTGCTCTTCCTCAACTTCTTCGTCGACGCCTATCTCAGACGCACCTTCAACAAGATGAAGACCTCTGCCGCCAAGGGCAAGGACATCGGGGAAGAACTCACGGATTACCTCAAAATCAATTGATCAAATGCTCCATCTTTCAAGGCATTGTGATGGGTTCACCGAGCTTCATTTTCTTCTTCATATTTTATCCATTTGTATGCCCGAAATCTGATATTGCCATATGCGGCAGGCCAAAGGGTGCATGATAGGACGATGCAATTCGTGTTTCTCTTCATTCAAATAGAATGGGCGACTGAAATGTTAGAGCAGCTAGATTTTTAAAGAAGTATTCCAGCATCCAGTAATTGGGTTTCGCAACCAAAAATCGGACCGGTCAGCGTTAGCATTCTGTTCTACCTCCGTTCTTGCCCGCCTACTTCCTAGTAGCAACCATAGACAAGTCTCCCAACAGGGAATCGCCTACTCGGTACTAATTAAGATTTCCTCATTGACAGGATGTAGCATCAGGAAGAAATGATCGGGGACGAGTTCCGATGGAAGGGAAAGTGGTCAATGAAAACTGAACTGTAGCTCGAATGAATGGACAACGCTTCAGGTTACTGTCAGGTTACTTCATACCAAAACCGGTTAATCGCAACGGGAACCCGTTCCTTTAGTGGGTTACGTATCTTCACGTAAGTTTTAATTTACATCCCCCCCTGGGGGTGGCTTATTTCTCTGCACGTGCTTTTTTGCGTAATTTGCGTCCTTTCTCCCGGCCGATTTCTCCTCAGGGAATTTTTTACACTTCCTGTTGCGTTTCGTTGATTGAACATCGATTGAGCGTCGATAGATCGAGTCATCATTGGGATCGGATTTTCGGAATCTGCTGGTCTCGACCATGAGGGCAAGCTTGGTGATATTCTTACGGAAGATTTTTTTTCGAGAGTGAAACTGATATTTTGTTACCAGATTTGAAAAATTGTAATAATACAAATTTCTCAGCCGGGCAAGGAATGACTAGGCATATTGGCGTTGGTCACGCTCATTTTCCTGCATGAACGAGAGATTCTAGTCATTCAATATAATACTGTTTGGAACGGGAAAGAGTTTTTAGTGTCAAACTGGAAAAAAAATTAATTCCGACTTTTTTTTGCCGTTTTGGCACCGTAGTGGGACTGAATGGCATGTTCTGATGTTCTTTCGATTTTTTTGCATGCGTTGTGAGTTCTTTCATTCTTCATCGTTGTTGTTCGTTTTTTTTCCTGTTCTGATGTGAAAAGGAACTGGATATCTTGGGAAATAGATACATTTCTCTAATACATTTCCATGCATTGTTACTTTCACTCGAAATAGACAATGACAGATCGGGGGGGGGAAGAAAAAGTGAATTCGAGAAACACTGCTTCCTCATTCGAATTATTCAGCTTTCATTCGAGGAATTTCCGAACACACCAGAAATTGAAAACTTGTTTTTATTTGTTAAAATATTATCTATCTTTTTGAACGAGAAAGCAACACCCACGTCATTAAATCGCCTGTTAAATGTGCTGCTAAGCGGGGGAGGGAGAAAGAGTAGGAAAGGGAAGAAAAGGGAAGGAAAGGGATAGACATAGGAATTGAAGGCATGAACCAGTACGAGTGCAAGGTGAAGGTGAGAAGGATTTCAAGAGCATCTCGCAATACACGCCAGGTGAGATCATAGTGAAAGGCGGATGAAGAGGAGGACGGCTGTGAGTGAAAGTGAATGGGAGATGGAGCAGGGGGGGGGGGGGGGGGGTACGAGCAGTAGGCGGCTCCCTTGCTTATGGCTTCATAGAGGATGGCTCCCTTGCGTCATCGTCTGACATGCGACAGAGATATGGATGAAAACACGGAAGAAAAAAAAATATTTTTTTTTCGTTATGGCATGCCCCGAGGCGTAAATTGCGTTCTGCGGCTCCCTCGATCGTTTTCCCGAACGAGTATTTTATGTTCTAAATCGTTTGCAAATCGCAGTGCGATCGCTTTGAGCGATTCCCGTAGACGTCATATCTGGGGAAGTACGCGGAAGTGCCCACGCCCTAATCGCTCCATCTGCATCGAGATTACTTAAGGTAATTGCTAACGTGAATCTGCTGTCAGCAATGTTTCCGACTTGTGGCAATCTCGCCACTCCACTCCACACTGAGGCGTTGGACGGACGACGCATGGCAAAGGCCATCGACTTTTCAACTATGTATCCTCTCGCACTATGCCCATTTTCCACAGAATTTTCGCTTTGCATAATTTGACGAATTCCTAACGGCCTTCGAGATATCATAAAAAAAATTTCTTTCGTCAGAGTAAGGCTTTCAATAATCATTAATAGAAAAAGCCCAAAATCGAAAAAGTACAGGGAACTTCCCTCCGCGCGACAAATTCAGACGAAATTTCCAAGATCTACTGGAATTTTATTATCTTCACTTTTATTATTGTCACTCCCGGATGGCCATTTGTTTAGCTCAACCCTCTTCAAATTTCTTTGCATAATTACCATCATTTGTCTTCATTGAGAATTCACGGAATTTCGGAATTTTCCAGTCCGTACACAAATGGTTTAATTTCCGAATAATTCGACCCTGAACAATAATTTCGAGGTTAAAATTAATTTATCTTGTTCTGGCATGCGCTGTTGTAGGGATTCCGAGTTAGCGAGGCAATTTTGCAATGCCGGGTAGAAGGGTTGGGTAATGTCGGAAAGTTCTGCTTTTAATTATTGCAAAACATTTTCCGTTGAAAGTTTTAAGCCCGCCGCCCACGAGGCACTTCATGCCGTGAAACCTTCGCTCCACACGATATTGTTCCGTATGCGATGTAGGCCGGCCCTGATTCTAGCATCAACCGATCACATCGTACCCCGGGAGTTCATCTGCGACGGTTGAGCAGCAATAATTGCCTCGTGTGCAGGGCTGCAACAGTCGTGCGACTGTGGCAATTTTTTGTTGCTCAACTACGTCGTAGATGAGCCCCCTGGGGCACACGGAAGAATCTGCAAGCAATGCGATTGGTCGATGCCAGAATTAGGGCCCGCCTACATCGCAAGACCACCGCACACGGAGCAATAGCGACTGCAATAATTATGGCAGGAAAAATGAGCAGGGAGCAATATCCTACGACGGCTGTGCGACGGTCGCACGACAAAAATTGCCTCGTGTGCGGCGGGCTTTATTCTTAAGATTTTTGTAATGGAAAACCGGAAAGGACATTTGAACGTTTCTTTTAAAAAAATATTACAATATTCTTCTTCACGCAAGAAAATCAACAATGATATATATTTTTTGCAATGAAGACCAGATTGCCATTCCAGCGGAGTTTGTGGCATATCATCCCTAATGGGTGAAAAAATTACCCCGTAATTATCCACCCGCGAGACGACGTGATTAATCCATTGCACCATTTCTCATCAACTACACGCGCGCGATTTAGGGGGCACCTTGACTCATCGGCGAGAATTCCAAATGACTACTCCCTCATTTGAATTATCATCAGCAGATAATTATCGTCGACGGCCGTCCGAGATGATTTTTCAATTAGCATTAATACCCAGTCAGCAATTTATCCCCGGGCTAAGTATGTTTATCGCCGCACAATCAGATGTTCCAAGCTTGGCACGCGTTCACGAGCCCACACGTGCAAACGTGCGCCACGTGGATGGATATGGCGTAACCTAAGATAACATGGATATGGCGTAACCTAAGTGTCCGCCTTTTCTGTGGCACCCAGTCTAATGCATCTGCGAGCCAAGTGTGGCCAATGGATATGGTAAATCCGCGACGAGTAGATCCACGATTATCTACATGTGCTTATCTACATGTGCAAGCACGGTACGACCGTGGTGTACGCATGTACCACCCCATAAATGTCCACTTTACTAATCACGGCACCATTTACGGTACATATCAGAGGGAGGTCCATTCCTTGGTGTTCCATGGAGCATACGCGAGTTCAAATCCTGGTTCTCTCAATCCGACTTCAGGACGAGGAAGAATAGGAACCAGGTAATGACGTCTGCCTTCGTGTCGTTAAAAGATTCTTATTGAGAATATGAGCTTGTTTATAGCCCGGGTTCCATGAATCTGTCTCGAATATAGAGATAATTAACGATGAAGTGCCCGCGTTTATTCATTTCTATAATGAGATTAGGCGAGACATATTGCGAGGTACTAAACACTCCTGTGATGGACGATTTGAAGGAAAGAGGGAAGGCACTTTCGTGTACCGTGCGAAGAGCGAGACACACTTCTCCATCTAGTGGCACGGAGAAGAACTTCAACAGTTCCCAAAAAATTTCAAGCGGAACTTCGGCACATTGGATCTTCGCGGTCATTTTTGTCTCATGCATTTCACGATCAAAACGATACGTACGGTTCTCATGAAAGCCTCAAAGCATTTCCGCAACTTTTCACTGATCTTCGGTCGGGTTGCACCAGCGCGCGAAGCATCCAAGTCCGCCAAGCGCGGGCCAAGTGTGGAAGACCCGAGCCACAGATGGTCTAACCACCGAAGAGCCACCGAAACGCCACAGCTTCCGTAGATGCGCCGGTCTATGGTCACACATACACTGCTGACTAGGTGGCCAATTAGCTAACAAGTCGGCGCTTAGCACCCCTCAGGTTTTCTTCGACTCGGAGAAACTTACCCTATGATTCATATTCGATGAAGGATATTGAATTCCTTTATAATTAGCCTTCATGAGTAGCTTTTATAAGTAGTGAGATTGGAATAACCTAATTCTCGACTAGCATACAATGTTAACGGTAGCTTTTGAATATAGAGTAGAAATGAATGAATCATCGTCCCCCGACCCTCACTCCCCAACATGCATTCCAGGTTTTATTATAAAAAAAATTAATTAATTTTGAGGAAGTCGTCTCTAGTAGAAAAAGCAGTTACATTAGTCCTAATTGAATTTTGATGGGCTGTTACACTTTCAAGTCTTCGGCACGAAACGTTGCGCTTGCTTGCCTGAAATCCCCGGCTCCGGTCGCGACGTCGCCGTCGGGACGAAGAAAAATCGTGTTTGGTCTCGAGGCTCGTCGCTTTCGCTTTTCACCGGTCCATCCCGACTGCGATGAATGGCAACCGAGGACGATAAGATCTCGAGGTGAATGGGCACGTCGTGGAGCGCGCACGCTGCACGCACTCTACACGTACGCTGCCCACAGGCGAGAACCGCCATGAAGAGTTCAGGGTTCAAGGTGGTTTGGTGGCATCATGAAGCGATAACACCTATTTGGATACCACGTGTCGAGGTCGAGCGTTCCTTACTTTTAAAGTGGTCTTACTCCTCTTAAAGCTAAATTTTTTTGCATTTTGTGATTTTTTTTAAGCATATCCTAGTAGCTTGCCGCCGGTCCCTTAAATCAACATTGCCCCCTTCTTGCTCGTCCATAAAAGCATCTAGTTTCTTCTTAAAAACAGGCACGGCGCCACAGGCACCACGTCGTCGCCTAACGCATTCCACGCGTTCACCACTCTACGAGTGAAGAATTCCTGTCTCGACCCGAGCCGCACTTGCGGTTTGGCCGACTCGAGTCGATCACCTCGCGTTCTCTCGCTGCCATCGAACTCGAAGAACCGACATCATCGATTCCATCAATCGTCTCGAAAGCCCGGATGAGATCGGCCCTCCTCTCTCGCACGGTCCCAGCCCTTCTAAGCGCCTCTCGCACGGACGTCCCCTAACTTCCTCGTGGCCCTCCTCTTTACCCCCTCGAGCGCCGACAATTCACCATTACTCGTAGGCCTCCAAAACTGGATGCAATATCCCAACCGAGGTCGCACCAGCGCCGCATGCGACGGAAGAACAACGCGCGAGTTCCTTCCTGCGAACGACGAACGAAACCTCGCATCCTGTTACATTTGGCCACCTTCGCTTGCGCGTGCGAGGAAGACTTGAGGTCTTCGTCGATGATCATTTTTTCCCCGCGAAATTAATATCACCGTCGTGAAACCAGTAAAAGAAAGTTAAGTGCAACGGTCATTGTGCGCAACAATGGGAATTCCCAGCCATTGTGGAACGCGGCGACGACTTCGGGATAGCTTCACTATCGCGTCGGTTTTTGTCAGTGGGACTAATAATAATCGACTTTCTCGAAGCAAGCAATCTGGCTACTAACACGCTGACCATTTTTCTCACAGGTTTTTTTCATCGTCTCGTTTATTATTATTATTTTTTTATTGTCTTTCTGCGACAGCGACTATCAACCTTCATGAATCACCCCTTTCACTTTCGCGTAAATCTGTAAGCTTCTAAAACTTCGTGCAAGTGATTCTGAATACAACCTCAATACGGAGAAATTT